AGACAGACAGACAGACAGACAGACAGACAGACAGACAGACAGACAGACAGATAGATAGATAGATAGATAGATAGATAGATACTATAGTGTCTCTTTTTAGACAGTGTATGTAAACCTCTGATTTCAGCTGCATGTCTTTTGTGTTCATGTCACATGTTTATGACTAAACCTGAGGGGGAAGTTATAATTTAGTTAGAAATAGTCTAATGAAAACCTTCCTGCTTCTCTGTACCACTCAGTACTGATATACCATCCGCCCTGAACTGGCTGTCCAAGTGGCGAGCGGCAGTCAGCTTCTGAACACATGCTTAACGGCACCGTCCAAAGCCATCATCATTACTATAACCTCCATAAGCATCATCCCATCACAGTTAGTGTGATCAACGTAGCAAGTCACGAGGAGTAATGGTATTGGAGGAAAAGGCACTGAGGGGAAAACAAAAGGCCTTAAGTCTTCGCTGAGTAATGGGCCTCCCCTTTGGCCAAATGATGCCAGCTTACACTTAAAGCATCATTTACATTAGTGCTTGTTATGGGCCATTGGACAGAATGCTTGAAATGGTTCATTAGTGGCAAAATGTTCACATCATCTCGGTTCATGTTGGAAGATACAAATGTAGCAGCATGAGTCAAATTGCTTGTAATGTGTGTTATGTGCAAATACTGCCACTGGGGGGAACATGCAGTACTTTGTCATATAGTGTGGGGTGTGTATTTAGGGGATTAGTGCATAGGGCAATGTGGCAGAAAAGGGTTTCAGAGGGATATCATTATAGCAGCAGGGGCATACTGCCACCATCTGGGATACCGCCGCTCCATCTACATTCTCTGCAGTCAGCCAGTTGAGGACTTAAGTATATCTCCCAACAGATTCCACAGTGTTGTATTGCTTTAAGCTTTAGCAAGCACAAGTTTACATCCTGCTGCCAAAAGACATTTTCCTTCCATTCTCTACACAAATGGCAGAGTTGCAAATTAACAAGCTTTAGCATCTAAAATTAGTTCAACCGCACTCATGTGAGGCCACATTTCCAGAGTGAAAAAAATTCTGTTTCATATTCAAGTCTTGGCAGTTTTTAATCAATGCACTATTTTTAACATACTGCTAGGTTTTAACCATGTGTCTACTTCATATGTTAATTACTAATTTGTTGGGGTTTTTTACTCAAAAGAATTGAAAGCTAATTAAGTTTAAAAAAAATT